ACCTGTACAGCTGAAATGACCCGGCTTTCCAGGGATCCAGTTATTTCCAGTGGGAGAAGAGAAACCAGTCAAACAGCTGCACTCATACTTTCCTGGCAGGTTTCTGCAGACTGAGTTAGGACCACAAGGTGGGGGCTTTTGAGAACATTCATCTATATCTGGGGAGAAAGAGAGTCAAAGCTACAGATTTTCTTCAAATACAGCTGGGATCTTCCAAAGATGGTTGAAACAATGTCTTCTAATCCATATGCCCTTAATCCAATGTCTTTTCTTGGGTGCTTCTTCCAGCAAGCAGGGTCTATATTCCCTCCTCTGGAATCTGAGCATGTTTGTGACTAGGCAGTGGTGACACTCGGCAATAAAATGGCTGTGCTAAGTCATAAAAATCTCACACACTTTCACCTTGCTCTTTTGGAATGCTCATGTTTGACTCAGCCACCATACTGTGAGGAAGCTCAAAGAGCCGTGATAAAACAGCCCGTGTGGGGAAGAACTAAGACCTTCGGCCTGCAGCTTCATTCAGCACCAGCTTCTGCATGTGAGTGAGCCCCCTTTAAAGTGGATCTTCTAGCCCCCAGTTGAACCAGCTCATCTGACACTTGTGGAACAAAGTCAAGTCATCCTCACCAAAGTCAGCCCAAATAGCAGATGCATTCACGTATGTTGCTTATTATCTGTTTCTCGCCGCCCTCAACAAGAAGTTTCAGGAGAAGAAACATTTTTGCCTGTGTTACTCACTGCAGTATCCTACATCCCTCGAACAGTGCTTTTCTATATAGTAGGTGCTCAAGAAGTGTTTGTTGAGTGAATGCATGAATGGATGAATGCCTATCGGCTTCAGTTCTGCAGACAAGACTTTGAACTCAGCTGAGACCTACCTCAACTTCGAGCTCTTCCTCCAGCACTGCTGTCTTCCAAACAGATTGGACATGATTCCCAGAAGACCCCTGCACCTACCTTGACATGTCTCCCCTGGTCCCTGGAAACTCTTCTTTCCACTTCTGGATACATATCCTGGGTTGCAGACGCAAGAGTAGCTTCCAAGACTGTTATGGCAAGTCGAATGCTCTGGGCAACTTCTGGAACTGGCACATTCGTCCACATCTGGTAAGTAGAAATGAAAACCCCGATCAAGGCAGGGGAACGACTGAGGACAGCAGACTGACAGCAGGAGATTCACTCCACTTGTTTGCCACCCAATGCTCCCAAATACCGAGACTTTTCCCTGGGCAGACCCGACCAGAGAGGCATTCATTAATGTCTGAGGAGCAGTGGAGGAGCGTGAGCAGACAAAAATTTAGTTGTCTAAATTTAGAAGCACATGTTCCTAACAGTAGGAACTGTCCACCAAAAACCCATGCCGGAGAGTCTGAGCCCTTTACCTTTACAGGTGAAATGACCTCGCTTTCCTGGCATCCAGTTATTTCCAGTGGGAGAGGAGAAACCAGTCCTACAGCTGCACCTGTATCTCCCAGGCAGGTTTCTGCAGATTGAGTTAGGGCCACATGGTGTGGGCCTCTGAGAGCATTCATCTATATCTGGAGAGAAAAAGAGTCAGAGTTACAAATTTTCTTCAAATAAAGTTTGTATTTTCCAAAGATAGTTGAAGCAATGCCTTCTATTTCATATACCCTTAATTTAATGCTCTTTTTTTGGTACTTCTTCTATCAAGCAGTGGGGTCTATATTTCCTCTACTTGAATCTGAGCATAATTTAAGTCATTAAAATACCACGATAAGTCATCAAAATATCACACACTTCCACACCTTCTCTTGAGATGCTCATGCTTGACTCAATTGCCATACTGTGAGGAAGCTCAATAAGCCATGAAAAAATAGCTTTCATGGAGAAGAGCTAAGACCTCCAGCCCACAGCCCTGGCAGAGCAACCAGAGAACAGCCATCACTAGCTTGCCAGCCTTGTGGGTGAGCCTCCTTCAAAATGAATCCTCTAGCTCCCAGTTGAGCCAACTCCACTGACACTGTGTGGAACAAAGTCAAGCCATTGTCAGCGAACTCAGCCCAATAGAAGATTCATTCGGGAGCAAAATAAATGATCATTGGTGTTTTAATGCACAAAGTTTGCTGCTACCCAGAAATAAACCAGAACATTTTGCAAACCCATTATACAGATTTACTCATTGAAGTGCCAATAGAATTATGCAGTCATGGTACCATGGGGTGAAAAGAAAAAAAGGGAACATGAAAGTCATTCAGACATGTTCGACTCTTTGCAACCCCCTGGAGCCTGCCAGGCTCCTCTCTCCATGGAATTCTCCAGGCACTTCTACTGGGGTGGGTAGCTGTTCTCTTCTCCAGGGGATCTTCCTGACCCAGGGATTGAACTCAGGTCTCCTGCATTGCAGATTCTTTACCATCTGAAGGCTGGTCCTCCCCTAATTTCCTTCAGCCCTGCTCTGCCAAATCAACCTAAATAAACACTTTCTATGCACTTGTCATGCAATTAGTAATGTTCATTCAGGCCTTAAGTAATGAAACATTAGAAGCACCTAATTGTCCATCAACTGCAGGGTGAGTAAGTCTGGAGCTGACAAAAGGAATAAGGTAGCACATTCCTTCATTTGACAAGGAACTATAAAATAGTCACAATGTATTAGGTACCACAGATCAAAGACATAGAGTAGATAAGATTCTTATGTAGTATCCACCATTTTCTAGATGGGAAATGTTGCTTCCATCCTTAATCTAAAAGCAAGAGCCCAACAAGGCTACTATGTTTACTGAATAACCCATAAACTGTAGCTCAAAGATTTGTTTTTAAATGTTTGTGCATATGGCCAATAGACACATGGAAAAACACCCAACATTGCTAATTATTTGAGACATGCAAACCAAAACTACAATGAGGTACCACCTCACACTGGTCAGAATGCCCATCATTACAAATTCTACAAATAATAAATGCTGGAGAGAGTGTGGAGAAAGGGGACACTTACACACTGTTGGTGGGAATGTAAATCAGTGCAGCCACTATGGAGAACAGTATGGCAGTTCCTCAAAAAACTAAGAACAGAATTGCTTATGATCCAGCAATTCCATTCCTGGGCATATACTAGGACAAAACTATAATTCAAAAAGATACATATACCCCAATAGTCATAGCAGCAGTATTTACAATAGCCAAGACATGGAAGTAACCTAAATTTTCATTGACAAAGGAATGGATAAAGAAAGTGTGGTACATATATACAATGGAATATTACTCAGCCATAAAAAGAATAAATAATACCATTTGTAGCAACATGGATGAACCTAGAGATTATTATACCATGTGAAGTAAGTCAGACAGAAAAAGACATATACCATATGACATCAGTTATATGTGGAATCTAAAATATGACACAAATGGATTTATTTACAAAATAGAAATAGACTCACAGATATACAGAACAGACTTGTGGTTGCCAAGGGTGGGGGTGGGTAGATTGGGAGTTTTGGATTAGCAGAAGCAAAGTATTGCATATAGGATGGATAAACAAGGTCCTACTGAATAACACAGGGAATGACATTCAATATCCTATAATAAACCATAGTGGAAAAGAATATATATATATATATATACACATACATATATATATATACATATATATATACATATATACATATATATATCACTCTGCTGAATACCTGAAACTAACATAATATTGTAAATCAACTATACTTCAATAAATAATTTTTTTAAGAAAATGATGTTTGGAGCTCCCTGGGAACTATAATAATGGAAATAAATTATTAAATTGAAATCTTGTTCAGAGTTCAATAAACTATAGCCCATGAATCAAATCTGGACTGTCACCTATTTGTGTAAATAAAGTTTTATTAGAACACAGCTCCACTCATTCATTTAGGTATCGTTGCCGGCTGCTTTTGCACTACAACTGGAGTATTGAGCACTTAAGACAGAGATCATACAAACTGCAGTCTCCAAAATATTTACTATCTGGCCCCTTATAGAAATAGATTGCAGACCCTTGCAAATTATGTCAGAGGCACAGTCAGACCTTTATTGTCAAGAGCAGAGTTTGGGTCTAAATATATGGAATATAGACCAAAAACTTAGCTCATTCTAGAAATTATTTTAGTTTCTATTATTTATATTAATAGTAGCTCTTGGGACTGTACATATGCCTAGCACACTGCATACATTACTGCATTTAATCTTCTCAAATATCCTTTAAGGTAGGTACTCTACACCCATTTTACAGATGGAAAGATTGAAGCTTAGAGAGATTAAATACATTTCCCCAATGCCTCACATCTGGAGTGTGACAAATAGGTAAGTGATTGAGAGACTGCCATTAGACTCAAAAAAACCTGAATTTGAATTCCAGTTCAATTGTTCAATGACCATAAACAAGTCATTTTAGCTCCCCAAGCCTCAGTCTTCTCATCTGTACAATGGAGATCATCACAGTGCCTATGCTATGTGTAAATGCACATAAAGACCTTCACACAGGACTTGGCACTCAATACATATTAGAAATTATTTGCATGAAGAGGTGACAGGAAGAAAATCAGTGTTTATTTCTGGATATTGACATACAGGATAAATTGCTTTTTGTTTTTATGAGAATTTTTTTGCCTGTACCAGGTCTTAGTTGCAGCATGCAGGATATTTAGTTGCAACATGTGGGATCAAGTTCTCTGACCAGGGATCGAACCCCAGGTCCCCTGCATTGGGAGCATGGCATCTTAGCTGGGCCACCAGGAAGTTCCTCTTTTTTATTCTGACTCAAATCATTAGAGTTTTTAGTGAACAGGAATTATTCTTATATTAGAAAGAAATTAAGAAAGAAAGAGATGGGGGAAGGAAGGAGGAGGGAGAGGCAGAGGAAGGAAGGAAGAAAGAAAGAAAACTGTGCTTGGGGATACCTACCTACATCTGCTGCCCAGCCAGCTTCTATCTGATTTTACTACGAAATGCTGGGGGTGGGCGGTGGGGGGGAGGGGGGGGTGGGGTTTGATGGGGCATGAACTCACCTTTGCATTCCACTCCTGGGCCCTTGAATGTCTTCAATCCGTTGCTGGACAAGAAGCCTCTTTTGCAAGCGCAGTAGTAACTTGTTGAAGTGTTGGTGCAGGTTGCATGCGCTGGACACATGGTGGTATCTGTACACCCCTTCACATCTAGGCAATGGAAAAGAAATTTGGGTTAGAGCCCCTAGTGGCGCTTCGAGGGAGAGGAGGAAGGTGACTAGTATGGGTAGAACTGTGTCTCCTAAAAAGGTATGATGAGGTCCTAAACCCAGGTCTCTGAGAATGTCACCTTATTTGGAAATAGATTCTTTGCAGATGTAAGTAAGATATAAATTAAGATGGGGTTATACTGGAGCAGCATATGTGTTCAGTTGCTCAGTTGTGTCTGACTCTTTGCAGCCCCGTGGACTGTAGCTCGCAAGGTTCCTCTGTCCATGGGATTCTCCAGGCAAGAATACTGGAGTGGGTAGCTATTTCCTTCTCCAGGGGATCTTCCCAACTTTTACATCTCCTGAATTGGCAGGTGAGTTCTTTACTACTTTCCCAGTGCCAACTGGGAAGCCCCCATATTGGAGCAGGATGGCCCTTTAATCTGGTATGATTGGCATCCTTCTAAGAACAAGAGATGAGGCAGAGGTGGAGAACACATGATGATGGAGGCAGAGATCAGAAGGATGCATCTACAAGCTAAGGACCACCAACAATGACCCAGCAACACCAGAAGCCAGGAGAGACTGGACCTGATTCTCGCCTACATCCCTCAGAGAAAGCACCTTGATTTTGGACTTCTGGCCTCCAGAACTATGAAAGGATAAATTTCTGTTGCTTTAAGCCACTTGGTTTATGGTCCTTTTGGCAGCCTTCGAAAACTAATAGTCACCAAGCACGCTCAGTGAAGGACCTGGTAAGCCCCAGACCCTTGTGCTCCTAGTGTGATCCATGGGCCAGCAGCTTCCCCATAGCCTGGGAGTCTGATGGAGATGCCCAGAGTCTCAGGCCCTGCCCCGCCCCTTGCTACTAAATCTGAATCTGCCTTTTAGCAAGAGCCGCAGGTGACCTGTGCGCCATAAAAGCATGAGAACCACTGTCCTGGGTACTCGCTACTCCAAGTGGGGTCCACAATCAGTAGCATCTGCTTCACCTGGGATTCCCCAGGAGATCTTGGGGAAATCAGATGCTGATTCAGGTCTCAGGAGGGACCTGAGATCCTGTATTTCGAACAAGTCCCCGAATGATGCTGACAGTGCTGGTCCTTGGACTGTACGGTGAGCAGCAGAGCTCTAAACAAGAGGATGAGTCAAAACTGAAGCCCTGTGGAGAACAGTGAGCTCCCCTGGCGGCTCCGATGGTAGAGAATCTGCCCTCAATGCAGGAGACCTGGGTTTGATCCCTGGCTTGGAAAAATCCCCTGGAGAGGGGAATGGCCACCCACTACAGTATTCTTGCCTGGAGAATCCCGTGGACAGAGGTGCCTGGCGGGCTACAGTCCACGGGGTCACAAAGAGTCAGACACGACTGAGTGACTAACAAACATACACACAGAGAACAGAATGGAGATTTTTTTTAATTAATGTATTTACTTTAATTGGAGGCTAATTACTTTACAATATTGTGGTGGTTTTTGCCATACATTGATATGAATCAGCCACAGGTGTACATGTGTCCCCCATCCTGAACCCCGCTCCCACCCCCCTCCCCATCCCATCGCTCTGGGTCGTCCCAGGGCACCAACTTTGAGTGCCCTGTTTCATGCATTGAAGTTGGACTGGGGATCTATTTCACATATGGTAATATACATGTTTCAATGCTATTCTTTCAAACCATCCCACCCTCGCCTTCTCCCACAGAGTCCAAAAGTCTGCTCTTTATCTCTATGTCTCTTTTGCTGTCTCGCATATAGGTTTATCATTACCATCTTTCTAAATTCCATATATATGTGTTAATACACTGTATTGGTGTTTTTCTTTCCGACTTACTTCACTCTGTATAATAGGCTCCAGTTTCATCCACCTCATCAGAACTGATTCAAATGCATTCTTTTTAATGGCTGAGTAACATTGCATTGTGTATATGTACCACAACTTCCTTATCCATTCATCTGCCAATGGACATCTAGATTGCTTCCATGTCCCAGCTGTTGTAAACAGTGCTGTGATGAACACTGTCTCTTTCAATTCTGGTTTCCTCAGTGTGTATGCCCAGCAGTGGGATTGCTGGGTTGCATGGCAGTTCTATTTGCAGTTTTTTAAGAAATCTCCACACTGTTCACCATAGTGGCTGTACTAGTTTGCATTCCCACCAACAGTGTAAGAGGCTTCCCTTTTCTCCACACCCTCTCCAGCATTTATTGTTTGTAGAGTTTTTGATAGCAGCCATTCTGACCAGTGTGAAATGGTACCTCACTGTGGTTTTGATTTGTGTTTCTCTGATAATGAGTGATGCTGAGCATATTTTCATGTGTTTGTTAGCCATCTGTATGTCTTCTTTGGAGAAATGTCTGTTTAGTTCTTTAGCCCATTTTTTGATTGGGTCATTTATTTCTCTGGTATTGAGCTGCATAAGTTGTTTTTATATTTTTTAGATTAATTCTTTGTCAGTTGCTTTGTTTGCTATTTTTTCCCATTCTAAAGGCTGTCTTTTCGCCTTGCTTAAAGTTTCCTTCACTGTGCAAAAGCTTTTAAGTTTAATTAGGTCCCATCTGTTTATTTTTGCTTTTATTTCCATTACTCTGGGAGGTGGGTCAAAGAGGATCCTGCTGTGATTTATGTCGGAGAGTGTTTTGCCTATGTTCTCCTCTAGGAGTTTTATAGTTTCTGGTCTTACATTTAGATCTTTAACCCATTTGAGTTTATTTTTGTGTATGGTGTTAGAAAGTGTTCTAGTTTCATTCTTCTGCAGGTGGTTGGCCAGTTTTCCCAGCACCACTTGTGAAAGAAATTGTCTTTTCTCCATTGTATATTTTTGCCTCTTTTGTCAAAGATAAGGTACCCATAGGTGTGTGGATTTATCTCTGGGTTTTCTACTTTGTTCCACTGATCTATATTTCTGTCTTTGTGCCAGTACCATACTATCTTGATGACTGGAGCTTTGTAGTATAGTCTGAAGAAACTAGGAATAAAACTACCATATGACCCAGAAATCCCACTACTGAGCATATACCCTGAGAAAACCATAATTCAAAAAGACACATGTATATCAATGTTTATTGCAGCACTATTTTCTATAGCCAGGACATGGAAGCAACCTGGATGTCCCATTGACAGATGAATGGATAAAGAAGTTGTGGTACATTTATATGATGGAATACAATTCAGCCATAAAAAGGAATAAATTTGGGTCTGTTGTAGAAAAGTGGATGAAACCTAAGCCTGTTTTACAGAGTGAAGTAAGTCAGAAAGAGGAAAAACAATATCATATATTAAAGCACATGTATGGAATCTAGAAAAATGGTGCTGATGAACCTATGCACAGGGCAGGAATAGAGACGCAGACATAGAGAACAGGCTTGTGGACGCAGCAGGGGGAGGAGAGGGGGGCGCAAACTGAGACAGTAGCACTGACATATATATGTTATTATGTGTAGAATAGACAGCAAGTGGGAAACTGCTGTTAGGACAGGGCGCCCAGCTCAGTGCTCAGCGCCCTAGATGGGTGGGGTGGGGCCAGGGGTCCCCAAGAGGGAGGGGATACATGTGTACTTACGGCTGATTCACTTCACTGTACAGCAGAAACCACCATTGTAAAGCAATTATACGCCAATTGAAAATTAATTCCTTTTAAAAACTATGAAAATTATGGCTCTTCATTACTAAGGTCTTGAGAGCCAGACTCTGTCACCTACAACCTGCTTTGTTTGTTTCCCTTCCCTGCATGATGCCTCAGATTCGATCTTTCTTCTCATTTCCAGCTTCCTCTTTCGTCTGCAGAGGCAAAACTTCTTTTTGCAGATTTCCGGTGTATTACCACTTGTGATCTCTCAGCTCTGAGTTTCCTATTACTTTCCTCTAGCTCTGCCTCTCATAACTCAAACCCATCCCAAACCAGAGTAGCAACACAGTCAGTCCTGTGTGACCGGGCACCTGTCAGCCTTCCTGGCTCACCTTCGACCTGGTCCCGCTAGCCACATTCACCTTTGCTCAGTGCTCCAAATTTTCTCTGGTCTGCAGATCTTGCCAGAATCATGTGAGCCAATTCATTACAATAAATCTTTGCACATATTTATATGCGGGCTTCCCAGGTGGCTCAGATGGTAAAGAATCTGCCTGCTGATGCAGGAGACCTGGGTTCAATCCCTGGTTTGGAAAGATCCCGTGGAGGAGAGCATGGCTACTCACTCCAGTATCCTTGCCTGGAGAATCCCATGGACAGAGAAGACTGGTGGGCTACAGTCCAGGTGGTCACAAAGAGTCAGACTAAGCGACTTTCACTTTCACTTTTATTATCTCTGCTCTTTGCCCTTAATAAACATACTCCTTTCTGAAATGCTCGTGTCTGGAAATTCTTTTCCAACATGTGCTCGGGCTGCCGTGACAGTTGTGAGTCATGAGCCCTAGAACCAAGATTCAAACCCAGGAAGGGCGGTTCCACAGCCCATCTCGTGACAACTCCACATGGAGTTGAATCCTCACTTTGGTGGTACTAGTGGTAAAGAACCCATCTGCCAATGCAAGAGAGGTAAGAGATACAGGTTGAATCCCTGGGTGGGGAAGATCTCCTGGAGGAGGGCAACCCACTCCAGTATTCTTGCCTGGAGAATCCCATGGACAGAAGAGCCTAGTGGGCTCAAATAGTCGGACATGACTGAAGCAATTTAGCACACAAGCATCACACTATACCTAGTAATCAGGTGACAAAACCAAGAAAGGGAGGCACTTGCCCAAGGTCTAACTGCCTTCAAGATGGGGGAGTCTCTTACCAAGATTCGACAGTGACCGCCGTGGCCGTTCACCTGCAAGAAAAGAGAAGTCAGTAGATCCTTTGAGAACTGGCTATGCCCCATTGTCTCAAACCAGGCTCCCTGTTTCTCTGGACACCAATGATCACGGTCGTGAGTTGTGGAAGTGGGAGTGGAGATGTAAAGAGGAAAACCCAGCCTCTTCCTGAGAACTTACCTTCATCAGGTAGGAGGAAGGAACTCCTCATGAATTCTT